GGGGAGACGTTGAAGCTGGGGCAGGGAACTGGGATCAGAGACAGAGCTGGGGAGTGAGGGGGGCTGGAACTGTCAAGACTGAGATTGGGAACTACTGAGCAGGGGAGACATATCTAGCAAGGAGCCAGGGTGTGAGGGGACAACTGGGACAGGCTGGGCAAAGAGCTGGACAAGGAGCCCGGTGAGGTGGGGACATTGAGACTGGAGGGGGAGACTGAGATTGGGAGCCAGTGGGAATTGGGAGGATGGGCAGGGGGATCAATGAGTAGATGATGGGGAGAGAAACAGCTTAGATGGAGATGCTGGGAGGGGAGGAACTGGGACTGGCGGGGCAAGGAGACTTGGACTGGGTGTGGGGAGGGGGCAGATGGTTTCTCAGAGGGGAAAACTGGGACTGGTTGGGCAAGGATACCTGGAGTGGGATGAGGAACTAGAGAACTGAATACCAGTTAGATGAGGAGAAGGGGTCTGGCATGAGGAGCTGGGAGTAGGGAAGAGACTGGGCAGGGCAAAAGGGCTCAAGCTTGGGGTGAGGCCTGTAGGATTCCCAATGCTGTATTTCAAAATAAGGGACTATTCTCTTAGCATCCCCGCCCCACCCCTCCTTCTGATATTATTAGCTTCATCAATAATAATTAATAAGCAGTACTCGTCTACATTCACCAGGCATATTTCTATTTGCTTTTTGCAGCACTCAGCAAGTCCTGGTCTTGTTGTACAGAGATGAAAAAATAAGGGATGTCCCTTGTAATAAGGGAATGTTGGCAATCCTAGGCAGGGAGAGGGGGGAATGGGCAGAAGAGTCTGTGCCCGTAGAGACACTACTCTACGGATCCTGGAATGCAACCCAAAATTCCTGGGGTTTTCAACATTCCTCTGCAGTCAGCAAATATCTGTGAAACCTACTGGCAAAGTGTGTATCTCATCCCCCCCCTCTAGCGCTGGGCCACACAGAGGAGACACCTATCATTGCTATTAGTTACTCTCTTACCTCAAATGGCAGAGGTCAGTGGTGGATCTAAAGGTTCCAATCCTGCTGATGAACTATGTGGATGGCAATATGATGCCACATGATGGTTTTTTCTAAAAAAAAGTTTTTTTGGGGGGGGGGGGAGTTAATTTGGGAAATTCCACACATATTTTGTATGTAAAATATTATTTAGGGTTGCAGAGTAAAGCATGCAAAAGTCAATCTTAATTCTGGCATTTTCTGACTTTTGCGTGCTTGACTTTGCAACCCAACTAATGTTCTTTAACGGCATGTGAGTGAGTGTAATTTTTAATATTACTACACACACCTCTACTCTGCAGTTGTTACTCAGGCACAACTCTCATTGACGTAAAAGAGCTTTAGAAGCTTATGGTATGAATTGCTATATATTTTCTGTGTTCTGCAACTAAAGTAATGTTTGTAGCATCCTTGGTTACATATGCAACCCTCTGGGTTGACAGAGCTGCTACTTGCATGCAGGAGAAATACTTAACAGCTAAATAGCACCAGATAAGTCACAATATGATCCCACATAGCTATATTTCCTAGCCACATGGCCTCTTAGGTCCATTTACTCCCTTCTGTACAGCATAGCAGAAGAGATGATCTTACCTAAGAGGAGCAACTGGGTAGTGGTTAAACTACCGGGGAAAGAGGCCAGACAATAGTAGAAGCGCTTGCAAAATTCAGGCAGTTAGACTAGATTAATCAAATAGCATTTTGTCTCCCTAACAGCTAGGAATCTATGGATTATGTTAAACATCATTACATTAAAGAGTTGTATTTTTAGGAAATGTATCTGAAGTAAATGCCAAAATAATATCAAAATCTTTATATCAAGAAGTAAAATATCTAAAAACTTAAATGTGCTTAAAACTCAACCACTAATCTCTCCACAAAAAAGGGAAGAATATTTCAAGTATGAGAAAGCAGAGAAATTAACTTTGGTTTTATCATGTGGTGAAGTCTACTTGAAACACAGATCTTTTTTTAGAGTGACCTACACCACACCTTCATGTTAGTGCTGGAGTGTAACTGGTCTTATACTGCAGTAATACGTTATGGCCAAACTCTGACTAATTGACAGTGCAGCCAAATGTCAACCATTACAGCTGTACATATGTTGAAAAGACTGTATGACAGTGGCATCATAGTACATACAGTGTGCAGAAAAGCTATTAAAAATATCATAGCTAAATAAGCCATTGTATTTTTTCTTGGGAGAGTGTATACTGTTACAAAATTCAGTGAAAGACTTTTTACTCACATAACTATTGGACTACCAATATACTGAATTAGCACTCTGTGCTGTATCTGCAGACAGAGTTCTCATCGTATCTTTTACTTCTGTTGTGCACCCAGTCACATATAGGTTTAGTCATCTACATGGAAGAAAACAATGATTTGTCAATCAAGGTGCAAAGGAAATGAACAAACTGATTATACTAGTCTTCACTGTTTCAAATTACAGACTGTTCACGCTGTAAATTAAAACTTCATACCAGAAGGATGCAGAGGGACTAGTCATTTGTCATTCTCAAACACATATTATGCACTAATGCTAATTGTCATTCTTGTAGTGGATCTCTGTGTTTGTGAGTGCAACCCAGCCTCTTGAAACAGAGGTCAAAATTCAGTGTGTTTTATGGACTAGTATGTGGTCATTGCTTAGCAAAGGAAGACGTTCTCTGAAGTAAGAACAAGAGTGTTAACTGGTGTTGGGTTTTTTTCCTTAATGGCACAAGGACTTGCTAGTGTCTCAGGAGCACACACTGGATTAATTGTGACTTGGAAATCCTACAAACTAGGAATCTTATTTGACACTTGGTTTCCTTTAGAAATTACTGTCTGGGGGGTATTTACATTTTCTCCAAAAGTCAGATCTGAAAAATCCCACATTCATGAGGATGCTTCGTCTTAATTTTCAATATACAATTCCCGTTCAGAAGAAAACTGAATCCCTGGTCAATATGCTGTATTATTATCTGACATTGCATAGGTTAAAAAACTGGATAAAGTCTTTTAACAACAGTGAGAAGAGACATTAATTGGTGGCAAATTACTGAACAAGTGCTTCAGAGGAAATCTTTCTATACCTTGTAAGTAATTCCCTAGATAATATACTAATGCAAAATGATAGGGAGCATCTATTTTTTAAAAAATACCTAAATTTTCTGACTTTCAAATTATTTTTTTATTTTTAAAACCGATATTAAAGGATTTATTTAAGGCAGAAACTTTATAAGTGGCAAAAGGGCAAAACTATTAAACAATGATTATGGATTGAACTATTTAGTACAGAATACTGGTTCCTCTCTGCTTACTTGATATCGATGTAACTGAACAACAATAACTCACACCACCAAATAGGTAAACAAAAAAAATCATTTAGACACTACCGCCACTTCATGCAATGCAATTCATGTATTCTCAGACTAATTGAGATTTGCTATATTAGTAAATTAAAGCCCACCTACCTTCACAGGTCCATAGTCATAATCAGATCCCTGCAGGAGATGCAGAAAAGACACCATGAAAATATTCAAGGTTGCCCACGGTTTGTACATTCTGATGTTTAAGATCCACAGATTACTACGCAGTTGATATCATACAGCTGGAAGGCTCTGTTTCGAAATGCATTTCTTGCAACAATTAAAAAAAAAAAGCTTCCAAAATTTCAGTTGTAAATCCAAACAGAATATGCACGTGAGAAAGTAAATAAGTGTTGACTCATCCAACACAATTGTAATTCACCTAGACAATGTCATTTCGTAGACTGTTCTTTAGATACATTTGAAAAAAGTTTTTAAGGGTTTGCTTGGTTTTATCTGATACTCTCACAAGTAACCAGGTACAGATTCACATTAACGTTATTAACTGATCTCCCAGCTGGACTCACAAAGGGATTCAATTCATTTGTGGTCCAGAAAATTTTAAAATATGCTATACTCCGTGCTCTGTGTTACAGCTGCCTTTTAAGATGGTAGTATAACGGCCAATGTTTTGAGCTACAGAGAGCTGTAATCCAACTCTGTATTAAAACTTTTTTCACAACCCTCGTGGAAGCTTGCAGAAGCATGTGTCTTAAATCTGATACAGACTTTGGCAGAAACAGAGTCAAACTTTGGCTCTAATCCCATTCTGTCCCTACCAATAGCATAGCAGTTTTTAAACTAACTGATGCAATCTAGACTGCCATTATTTTAAAAAGATTACCTGAAACATGAAACTTCAGCACACGTTCTTCCACAGCACACGCACTACAATAGCTAGTTCCTTTTTTTTTTTTTTTAAATAAGGGGAGACGACCACATACTCTTTTATATCTTCTGAGCTGTAAGATTTGCTTAATGGAGTGTCACAAAGGAAAGTAAATAGTTTAAATAAATAATTTTCTTTAAAGAGACCTTATGAAGCAATAGATTTAAAATGAGAGTCTTTATTGCAGCAAAAGAGAAATATATTTTTGTACACCAAAACAAAATCACTTAATGCACTTTCCACACACATTTGCATATATATATATATATATATATATATATATGACTAAAAACTTAAAACCCTTAAAAACTAATTAATACACACATACACGC